GTGTTCCATAAATTACAGAATAAAAATAAATATTGTTTTAAAAACAAGAGCTTTCCTACATGACAAAATTTCCTAGGAAAACAATGATTGGCAATTGGCAAATAATAATAATTTTGGCTTTGCCTTTCTAATAGCCAAACCTCTACCTATTATTCTGTTCACTGAATTGACTTAATTTTCCGAGCAAGCTCTCCATGGGGCAATCTCATCCTCTCCATTGAAAAGATGTATAATTACATGAGTCTCAAATTTTATCTCCACCTCTGACCTCTTTTTTAATTTTTATTTTTTAATCCTCAACCGAGGACATTTTTCGATATTTTGTTCAGATGGAGTGGGAGGGAGAGAGAGGGGGAATAATTACATTGTCTTTTCAAGAAGCAGAGAAATGCATTGGGGTGGGAACCAACAATGTGTGCAACCAGGGATCTCCTCAGTTTTGTGTCAGACATTTATTTTATGCTAGAGATAGAGCACTTTGAGGCAACATCAAAGAAATTGGAGGTTACTTCTATTTTCCCAGTTTCCTATGGAGGTGTTTGATAAATATGTATTGATGCTGATATGTATGCAAAAATGCTTTTAAATACATACTGTGCGATGCAAGGGGAGGTAAGAGTAAATAATGCTTGTAAACAAATAAGTTCAATGGAACCTATCAGGGTAAATAGGTACAGTAAAGGCTCTACCTTTGCACAGGGTGGCTGGTAAAGAACTCTGCAGTCAGCAGCTCAGGAAAAGCTTCACAACGGCATTAAAACAAGTGACCAGGAAAGTGGGTGAAGAAGGAAAGAAGAGGGAACAGTGGGCTGAGGACAGATCATCAGGAGTGGGAACGTCACACAGTGCAGTTTGCATATCCAATGAAAAGCCACCAGAGAAGTGTTACCAGGATAAAAACAACTTGAATGACTATGAGTGAAGGCAGGGAGATCACTTCAAATACTATAGCAAGAGTCAAGGTGCACAATGCTGGTAGTAATGAGGATGGACAGAAGTGGCCCAAATATATTAAAGAAATAGAATCAATAGGACTTGGACATTTTTCCATTAATTTTTTTTTTTTTTTTTTTTTTTAGATAGAGTGGAAGGGAGGGAGAGAGAAAAACATCAGTGTGAGAGAGACACATCAACTACTTTCCTTCCACACGACCCTAACAGGGCCAGGAAACAACCCCCAAAACCAAGGTACTTGCCCTTGACCAGGAATTAAACCCGTGACTCTTTGGTCTGAGGGCTGATGCTCTAACCACTGAGCTAAACCAGCCAGGGCTATGATGGCCTTTAAGTACACAACCTGTCTCCCTTGAGCACATCTGCTCCTCCCTCTCCTCAGGTGTCCGATTTACTTTCTTTCTCCTAAACTCCGAGGGCCCTCCTCTTGCAGAAGTTTTCAGTGAGCCAAAAGCAACTTTGCCTTGGCTCACATCTGTCACTGTGACTTTTACTTCCCAGTAAGTCTAGGCAGCCCAGCCTAGGCTCACTTCTGTTACTGTGGCTTTCCTGAGTCTAGGAGCCCAGCTCAGGCTCAGTCCTGCTGTGATCTTGTTTATTCTATTCTAAGCCCTTCCTTTGTCATACTGTCCCAAGTTTTAATAAATGTACTCTCAAAAACCACCTGGACTCAAATCTTGAATTCTTTCCTGCACAAATTCAAGAAGCCACACATTCCGAACTGTGCTGGGGCAGAGTCGCCTCAGCCCGGTCCCTTTCGGGAGACAAGGGGTTCAAATATAGGAAATCTGGCTTCAGAGGCCAATTCTTCATCCCCATCCAATATTGATTCCTAATTTGCCTGAGAAAACACAGTAAGTGTGGACTGAAGTTCAATGCTTTCCACTAACTACTCTTTATACAGGGTGGGGCAAAAGGAGATTTATAGTTGTGAGTAGATAAAACACAGAATTTATTATTGTATTATTTATTAATTATTGTATTATTTTCCACACGAACAACTGTAAATCTACGTTTGTCCCACCCTGTATATGAATATGTTTGAGACAGGATTCCTGTTTTGTTCATATCTGCAATTTACCATCTAGCATAGGACCTATACAAATACTTGTTGGCCAAAAGAATATCTCATTTTACTTTATTAAAAAAATTTTTTTTTCTTCACTGATTTTAGAGAGAGGAAGGAAGAGGGAGAAGAAACATTGGTTGGCCGCCTCCTGGGGATCAGGCCCCCCACTGGGGATCAGGCCCACAACCTGGGCATGTGCTCTGACGGGGAATCGAACCGACAACCTCTTGCTGTACAGGTCAACACTCAACCACTGAGCCACACCAGCCAGGCAAGAGAATATCTCATTTTATACTTTTACTTTTTTGGGGGGTTAAGTTTAAATGGCCTAAAGAACTCCAGTTTAAGAAAAGTTAATGTTTGGCATTTAAAGTTACATTATCTTCAGTATTATATTTCACACTGAATTAACCTAAAGCGATATTCAGTTGCTAGACAGCAAAAGATAAGGATCTGTTAACTGAAATCTAGCTTTGATTGTGAAACTGACCCTTTCAGAGGAATTACATTGTTTTGCTATGCTTCTTTTTCTCCAGTTGGAAAATGGCCCTAGCCTCTATTTTGTTCATATATATATATATATAAAGATTTTTGCATCATACAAAAATCTTGTTTCTCTCTAGGAAGTTGGCAATACTCTCAATATATAGATATATACAAAACCATTTAGAACTCAACACAGTGGTTGTTCAACCCTGGTTGCCCATTAAAATTATCTGGGAAACTTAAAAGAATACTGATTCCTCAGCCCTACCTCAAACCATTTAAATCAGAATCTCTAGGGATGGAATTTTGGCATTTGTATTTTTAGAAGCTCCCTAGACATTCTACAAAATACTTGGCAAGCACTCTTCAAAACTGTCAAGGTCATCCTAAACAAGAAAAGTCTAAGAAAATGTCACAGACCACAAGAGATGAAGGAGACTTGATGACTAAATATAAGAGAGTATCCAAAGTGGGATCTTGGAAAATAAAAAAGATATTAGGGAAAGTTACTGAAATCTGAATAAACTGTGGAGTTAATTGTAAGCAATGGTGGTTCTTTAGTTGTGACATGTAACTGGATGATGAGTGTAAAGGAACTCCCTGTACTACCTTTGTAACTTTCCCATAAGTCTAAATCTATTTGAAATAAAACATTTATTTATTTATTTTTTTAATTTATTTATTTTTTCCTCACCCGAGGACATTTTTCCATTTTTTGTACAGATAGAGTGGGAGGGAGAGAGAGGAAGGGAGAGAGAGAGAGAGAAACATCGACGTGAAGGGACACATTGAGTGGCTGCCACCCGCACGACCAACCAGGGCTGGGGACAAACTGCAACCGAGGTACATGCCCTTAGCGGGAACCGAACCCGGGTCTCTCTGTACCGACGCTCCAACCGCTGAGCCAAACCGGCCAGGGCAACATTTATTTTTTAAAAACCTGTCTAGTATGGGGCCAGGGTTGGGAATCACTTACATAGAATATGTTTACATTGTACCAGAAAACCAAAATACTCTGTGAAATATTGAGCCAGGTGCCAGCATGTGTGGTCCTAAAAATCTGACACCTAAAAACAATGAGCTGCTGCATTAGAATAGATGCTAGAGGCACTCTCAGGGAAAAGCAATGAAATGTTCTTAATAAACATAATTGTAATAATCATAATCCTGATAATTGCCTCCAAGATGCAAAAATTCAAGAAAGACTACTAGTGCAAGGGGAAAACAAACAGACAAAAAAACTACTCACAACCCATTTCTCAGAAAGGTAGGTTAAACTTGATATCTATGAAATATATAAATATCTGGATTAAATATGTTTGCATTATGGTACCCCAGTGGTTTGTGAAAATTGTGAGTGATTCATCTTTGCAAAAAGCTGTTGGAAGTTTGTTAACTATAAAGGATATTGAGACCTGATTAGAAAAGTATTCAGTATTGAGTTAATTTCCCCCCTCATGCCTCTCCCACTGTGGTAGGAAGGATAAAAGATAAAAGGAAAAGATACCCTAGTCTTCCATAATGAAGCCTACCTGGATTCAGTCCAGTCACACTTCTCTTTCCATAACCATTAAAGATATTTGTTCTGTGTGTAAATCTCTAGAGGAAAGTCAGAATTGTGCGTGAAGAAATTACTCTGCACAAATAAATATTTGACAAACAGCAAGTGCTTGAAGATGGTGTTTCAAAAGCTCATTTTTAATTTTCTGCACACATTATCTTACTTGGTAAAAATGAATAATTTATAACCCAGAATCCCTATGCAGCATCGAATTAACAAACAGTAATAACAGTCTGTAGCCACACAGATTACAGCCCAGATCCCTAACACCATGGGACCTTAGGTAAAAAAAAAAAAATCCTCTTTTTTCAGCCTATCTCAGTTTCTCATCTGTAGAAATGAATGGATTAGACTAGCCAACCTCCAACGGTCCTTCCAATTTGGACTTCGAGATTTGGTGAGAAGGACTTCGAGAAACAGACTGGACAGCTTTGGGATTTAGGTGGGGCTTTAAATTCCAATGGGCAGGATGGTATTGAAAAAGCTGTTCGCATGCTTGTGTTTCTAGAGTCGCAAGGGTGATTGATAGGAGTGAAAATATGTGCAAGAGGAGAGTAGGACAATGACCCGTTTTAGAGTCAACTCCCTAGACTTTTCTGGGGCTGGCAGAGTAAGAAGAGCATTCGGTTGCTAAGCAACCGCGCCGCCTTGAGGGGTGGTGGAGGACCCTAGTTGGAGGTGTCTAAGTCACAGCCTCTTAATTTAGTCACGGTGCCCTCTTCCCGAAATTAATAAAATATGTAGCCTTTAAAAGTACACATTTTCTTGTACCACATTTTCGCAAGCCCTAGCTTGTGGGCAAGCCCACAGCTGAGTTCTGTTCGCGGTGATTTTTGTCTGTTTCCTGTTCTCAGGCGCGATGCGGGCTCCTCTCTGACTAGGACCCCGTCGCTGCGCGTTGCCGGGCAGAGCTGGACGCCGCCCGCTCCTCCGTCCCCGCCCTCCTGGGTCCGGCCCTGGTCCTACACCCGCAGCCCTCGGCAGCCATGGGCTCGGAGATGGAACCTTTGCTCCTGGCCTGGAGTTATTTCAGGCGCAGGAAGTTCCAGCTCTGCGCCGATCTGTGCACGCAGATGCTGGAGAAGTCCCCTTATGATCAGGTACCTGTCGGACCCCATCAGCCTTGTGGATCCTGGCGACGAGGCAGAAGGCTCTGTGGGATGCCCAGGCTCCCGGGTGGGGACTCCGGGGAGGAAGGCCAGGGCAGGGTTGGCCGTGTGGTCAGCACAGGCCCCTGGGGCGAGACCCCTGGAGTCGTGGCTGGCGGGGCCTGTCCGCTGCGTACCGACTCCCGGAGGGACCCACGACTGCTGTGCCATGAGCGCCCCTTCTCAAACTTGGGCGGCCCCTTTACTTCAGGTGTCTTTGGAAGGAACGCTTAAAGCCCGAACTTTTACTTAAATTTGGATGGGTTAATCTTAAACTCGCTGCATGTTTGTTGTTCATGTCTGAAACAATTATACATAAACTTAAGATCTGTAACTGCCCACCTCCTGTTGAAATAACTGCCTTTTTCTTTTGGAGCAAGTGTGTGATCCTTCCACTTCATCTGAAACTGTTATTCAAGAGTAAGGAGCCTTTGATTTGGGGGTATGAGGGCAACCTGAGGCAAATAAGTCAAGTTAGAGGACTCTGGGAGGCGGAAAGATACATTTATTATTAGGAGGGAGAGAAGGGGAAAATATTCCTCCTAAAAGAAGAAATGATGGTATTGATTAAAAGAGATCTTAAATAAACTACAGTAATAGTTTAACTTCTCTTAAATAAAGTGTAATATTAAATAAAACAGTGAAAAGGTCATATACTACGCACGTGAGAGGTACAGATCTGGTTGACAGGTAGTTCCTGGAAGAAGGAAAAAGGAGAAAAAGGGAGAATGGGAACAGAGCTGTGGCAGTTTGTCAGTGCTTCTAGTAAATGAAGAATATAGTTCTTGTCTCCCAGCTCTTCCTATAGTTAGAAAAAAAAATTGAGGGGAGATGCATAGCAGAGGCATGAGTGTGAACACTGCCTTAGGTCCCAGTGAATGGATGGAGGATAACCTGTTGTGAACAGTTTGGACTTCAGACAGATAGTACATCTCTCCTAGAACATCCGTGTTCGTGGAAATGCTAAACTAGGTTCTGTTTGTGTTAGTTAATAGGACTGTGTTTCTGTAGACAGGCATTTTTCTAAGTATGTTTGTTGGGACAGTAGTACCACAGATACTGTTCAAAATTTTTTTCGATGATCAAATAGGGGAATCATGACAAAATAGTGACTCATTTACATTTGTACGACACAAATTAGTTACAGACCTGTGATGTACCAGACATTGTTCTAGGCATGATGGTTTTCAAGAACTTGACATGCTGTTTCCATTTTTCCATTGAGTTAGGGTCGTTTCCATTCTGTGTCCAGATAACACTAATCCCAAGAGCTGCTCAGTGAAAGTTTCCTCATTAAATGCATTTAGGGAATGTATAGTCCCTTCTTAGAGATTCAAGATTCATACTAAAGGCTCTGAGAAGTTTTTAAAAAATATATGTTTTTATTGATTTTTTTTAGAGAGGAAGGGAGAGAGAGGTAGAAACATTGATGTGAGAGAGAAACATTGATCGGCTGCCTCCTGCATGCCTCCTACTGGGGATCAATCCTGCAACCCCGGCATGTGCCCTGGCTGAGAATCCAACCGGGACCTCTCAGTCCATGGGACAACGCTCAGTCCACTGAGCCACACTGGCCAGGCTCTGAGAAATTTTGAAGAAAAGAAACTTAATTTCACCTAATTATTATTAATCTAATAATTCTGAAACTTATTTGACCACTCATTCTTTTTTCAGCAGCTGGCAAGTGTCAGATGTCCTAGGGAGATGCTGTCATGTTGGGAAGTGTTATAGACAAAGCCACAATATTTTTATTAACGTTTAAGACCCTATAATCTTAATGATATATAATCATAGTGACACTTAGTATTGCACCTATGAATTTAGATTCAGTTTATGTTAGGCACTGCAATCAGGACTTCATATATATTCAATTCAATGATCTTTTATTGAATGTTTACTACTTGCCAGGTACAAGTTCTATAAATTGCATGTATTTCTATGCTTAGGCTAACCTTGCAAAGTATGTAACAAATTATAGATAACATCTATTGAGTATTTACTCTGTGTCAGGCTTGGTTTGGAGGGTTTTATATGTTGTCTCATTTAATCCTCAGCTATTTTAGGAAGTTGGTATTATTTCCCCATTTTACAGATTGAGCACACTGAGGTACAAGGTGATGTAAATTGTCCAAAGTTGGTGAGCCCATTTCCTTTGTCTGTACCAGCCTGCTTCTTTGGTGTTCCTACATCCTAAATTTTCAAAACTGTGTTTCTGAACTTTTCCCAGTCTATTTTCTCATCTCTTGTGCTTTGTCCCAAGATTTTTGCTAAGCAGTAAAGAATTTTGACATATCTGTGTACTTGAATTAAAGGCTCTGAGAAGTCCCAAAGGAAGAAAATCTGCCCATCTTTTATTAAGCCAGCATTCTGAAACTTATTGATCACTGGTTCCTTTTCTGAGGGACAGGTACAAATATCTCCCTTGTTATCCTGAGAGATGTTGCTGCTTTGGGAGATGCATAGGCAAAGCAGCCATGTTTTTAATTCATGGTTAAGAAAAGGTCATAGAGGAGATCTCGACTCCTTTCCTTTTACCTAGGAAGGATCAACAAATCAAGTACTTCATTTAAAATCTCCCAAATTAGCAGCTAACTAGGATGTTTTTATTTGGCTTCCTATAGAGCTCCCATTAGGCCTTACTGGCCCTCTTGCAAGATTAAAACTTTGTCACAAGGGATGTGTGGTGGAACTGTGATTTTGATAATGAAGAAAAAAAGACACAGGTTCATACTGAGAAATAGTGCTGTTATCATTGGTTAACGATTAGACATGGCTAAGATCATTGTAGCAATAATAGGTCTTGTTAAGTCCTGGCCTATTCCATTGGCCTATTTGTTGTGGATTTGAAATATATCATAATGTGATACATAATTAATTTCTAATACCATGGACTTTTTATTTTTTCCTTTATTGATTTTAGAGAGGGAGGAAGGGAGAGAGAGAGATAGAAACATTGATGAGAGAGAACATCGATTGGCTGCCTCCTGCATGCCGCTCGCTGGGGATTGGGCCCACAACCTGGGCATGTACCCTGATCAGGAATCTAACCTGTGACCTCTTGGTGCATGGGTTGCCCCTCAGTCACTGAGCCACACCAGCCAGACTACTACCATGGATGTTTTTAAAAATGTTATTCTTTGTTACCATTTTATTGTTATAAGCAGGGGTTGGTATGTTCAACTCCTACAAATGTCAGAGTAGGCCTAGGAGAATCAGTTATCAAATCCAGGATGTATTTATCTTATTCTTTTCTTTTCTAATCCTTTTTTTTTTTTTTTTTTATCCTCACCCGAGGATATTTTTCCATTTTTTGTACAGATAGAGTGGGAGGGAGAGAGAGGAAGGGAGAGAGAGAGAGAAACATCGACGTGAAGGGACAGGGACAAACTGCAACCGAGGCACGTGCCCTTAGCGGGAACCGAACCCGGGTCTCTCCGGACCGCAGGCCGACGCTCTAACCGCTGAGCCAAACCGGCCAGGGCTCTTTTCTAATCCTTTTTATTTGTTTTGCTATGGTAGTTTATTTAAGAGGAACTATATAATGTTCCCAGAACAATGATTAGTGTGTCATTAGGAACAGAAGTTTAACTTGATGTTACCTTGCCAAACTGGGCTTTTGATATCTGGATAGGGCTGCTGAAAGGTTTACAGGGTTCATTCATGTTAGTTATTCTTTGAGCCATGCTTTTGCATTGTATGTTTTTCTTAGTACCAGCTTAGGTATTTTGAACCCAATTGTTATTTCATTTTGGAAATATTTCCCAGTCTGATTTTCCCAAGCTTGAAGAAATCCTGCATTTTTTCTTTGAGTAAAAACTTGACAATTCTCCTTCTGTTCTTAGAACATGAGTCCAGGATGGCAGATCTACATGGTATGCACCAAGTCTGGCACTCAGAGGCTGTCATTGTGTGTTAGCTGAATGCGTGCATCGATCATATGCACTCATATATGTGTTTTGTTGGCATTAGTCATGTGTGCCAGCTTCCCCTCTGTTTGTGAAGATCATCCTAGTTGCCTGATGGTCATCTTTCCCCACCCCTCATCCTTAATTCTCAGCACCATAGGTTCTTTTTTGAATCCTCACTTGAGGGTATTTTTACATTTATCTTCAGAGTGGGAGGGAGGAGGGGAGGGAGAGAGAGAGAGAAACATTGATGTGAGAGAGACACATTGATTGGCTGCCACCCGCACAACCCCAACTGGGGCCAGGGACTAACCGTAAGGAGGTACATGCCCTTGGCTGGGATCGAACCCGGGACTCTTTGGTCTGCAGGCCGATGCTCTAACCGCTGAGCGCTGAGCCAAACCGGCCAGGGCACAGCACCATAGGTTCTTAAATGTACATTATTCTTTTCAAATCAAAGTAATTGCATTATGGACATATTTAATTCATTTTTTTTGTTAATTAGTCCAGAAAATTCTTCCTGGATTCCTCCAGGAGAGTGTTTCTATTAGTAATTATCCTCACTGGTATTTCTTATGGAGTGCTCCTTGTTTCAGGGGAGGAAGGTAAATGATGGAGAGACTAGCAGTCTGTGAAAAGCTAACAGAAGTGTGATGAGGGGGAAGCAGGTGGGCCTCAGTCCCACAGGTGCTTCATTCGCCTCTGGGACTTTCTTTTTTTGAGGCTTCTACCTTTCAAGAAGAGGACTTTTCCCCCCTAGTTGTTGGAATGACCATTCCTGTGCCACCAAACTGATTTTAGTACAAATAAGTGACTTTGAAGCAATGCCAAGACACACTGAAGAGCAAGGAAATTAAAATATTTCTTTTAGGTGCCATATGGATTCATTTTTGCTCTTCCTTTTTACCGAAATAAAATAGCTTTTGCTTTTGTTTGTTTGGTTCTCACTTTTGATTTTGCTTCTTTTTCTCCCAGATGAGGAAAACCTCTCTTAAGTGATCAGTTAATCTCTTTATAAGCTTGTCTGGAAGCCTTCGATCCTGATAC